ATTCAGGACCTTCATATTAATGAAATCATATAGTATATGTTCTTTTGTGATGGCTTCTTTTACTTGGCATAATCTTTTTTAAGGTTCATCCATCTTGTAGCAAATATTAGTACTTCATTCCTTTTTATAGCCAAATAATATTTCATTGTATGGATATACCACATTTGTTTATCCAGGCATCAGTAATGGAGATTTAGGCTGTTTCCATCTTTTGGCTCTTATGAATAATGGTGCTATAAACATTCATGAGCATGTTTCTATGTGGACACAGGGTCTCATTTCTCTTGGGTATATACTAATGAGTGGAATTGCTGGGTCATATGATAACTCTATGATGAATCACTGAAAAGTGCCAGACTGTTTCCAAAGCAGCTGTACCCTTTTACATTCCCACCAGCAAAATATGACGGTTCCAATTTCTTCACCTTGCCAACATTTACTGCTACCTTTTTTACCCATTCTAGATAGTGTAAAGTAGTAGTATCTCATTGTAATTCTGATTTGCATTTTTGATGATTCATGATGTTGAGCATCTTTCATGTGCTAACTGGCCATTTGTCTATCTTCTTTGGAAACTGTATATTCAAATTCCTTTCCCATTTTTTATTAAATTGTCTTTTTATTATTGAGTTGAAAGCATTCTTTATGTGTTGTAGATACAAATCTCTAATCAGATAAATGACTTGTAAATATTTTCACCTATCATTATGATTTTTTGATGGTGTCCTTTGAACATAAAAGTTTTTAATTTTGAGGTGCATGGCTGGCTCAGTTGGTAGAGCACGTGACTCTTCATCTGAGGGCTGTGAGTTCAAGCCCCACATTGGGCATGGAGGCTACTTTAAAGAAAAGAAGTTTCTAAGTTTGATGAAGTCCCCTTTGTCTATTATTTCTTCATTGTTTGTGCTTTTAGTGCCATATCTAAGAATTCTTTGCCAAATCTAAGGTTATAAAGATTTTCCCAAAGTTTTTTTATAAGAGTTTTATAGTTTTGGCTCTTACATTTAGGTCTTCGATCCATTTGAATTAATTTTTGTACATGCCTTGGGGTAATAGTCCAACTTCATTCTTTTGCTCATGTGGCTATCTAGTTGTCCCATTCCATTTGTTGAAAAAGATGATTCTTTTCTTATTGAATGGTCTTGGCACTCTCGTTGAAATCAGTTGACTGTATGGATTTATTTCTAAACTCTCAATTCTATTCCGTTGATTTATATGCCTATTTTATGAGAGTACTACACTGCCTTTTACCATTGTTTTATAGTAAATTTTGCAATTGAGAAATATGAGCCCTCCTACTTTATTCCTTTTTAGGATTATTTTGGTTATTTTAAGTCCTCTGAAATTCCATAGTCATTTTAGAATAAGCTTGCAAATTTCTCCCAAAAAGTCAACTGGAATTCTGATAAGGACTGCATTGGATCTGTAGATGATTTTGGAGACTATGGTCATATTCATTTTGAACCTTCTGATCCATGCACCTCAGTTTTTCCATTCATTTAGATCATTAAAAATTTCTTTCAACAATGTTTTATAGTTTTCAGAGTATAAGTTTTACATTTTCCTTGTGAAAATTATTCCTAAGTATTTTATTCTTTTTGGTGCTGTTATGAATGCAACTGTTTCCTTAACTTCATTTTCAGATTGTAACACAAGTTTTTAATGTTTATCTCCCAACTAGAGAGTAAGGTCTCTGAAAGGAACCAGTATCTTGTTCAATTTTTAAAAATTTCACTGATATATAAAGTGGGCTACAGTACTACCACTCACTCAAAAACAGTGTAGAAAAAATGAGTGAATGAATAAAATAGTAAAACACAGCTTCAATAACTAAATTTATAAGAAATGCAGATTTTTCTCCCCAATTTGTTGACAGAGACATATTTGGATTTAAGAAATCTTGATGTTAAGAGGCACCTAGCTGGCTCAGTTGGGACAGCATGCAACTCTTGATATCAATTCGGGGTTGTGAGTTTGAGCCCATGTATTTACTTAAAAAAAAAAAGAAATCTTGATGTGAAAAGTCAAAATTTCTTTTTGATTAAGAATTAATTTTTATTTTGTTAAAAGTTTGTAATTATCGAAGAGGAATGCTAACTTGAACAGTAGAAAGTTGCTATGGTAACCCTCAGAAAGCTCAAAAGCACAAGTCACTGACAATGTATGGGGGTACACTGTCAATTACACTTCTCTCTCCACTTGTGCAGGAAGGAATACAGTGCTATATCAGACTATCTTAAAATGCTTAATCACTTAAAATAGTGACTTTATCTTAAAGGAAAATATGAACCTTTTCCTATACATTGAAGGAAAGCTCATGAAGGAATCCTCATGAAGGATTTATGTTTCACAAACTTCACATGGGTCCTTAACAAAGTCTCAGCTTTAACCCTTATACAGTATGTTTAGATACAGCATGTTAAAATGGTATTTCTTTATCTCCTTGGCAAACTCCAAATTTCAATTATATCTCATATTTCTGTTAATGTAGTTAAATGTAGAGTTTGCATAGAACCATGTAATCTTACCAAGTACAGTCTCAGTTTCTGTGATTTGCTTGAACATGTCATTTCAGTTCAGACCTCAGTTGCAAAATAGGGATAATGCTTTACTTGTCCAAAGGCAGGAGCCTACCACAGATGAGCCCCATGTCATTTCTAGCTCTAAGATAAAAGATATGAGATTTTCTAGCTTTGAATGAGGTCTAGAATAAAAACCTGTTACATATTCTAGTATGTGGTTCTGGAATCCATTTTCTAGGTTCAAATCATGGTTTCTCAAGTACTGAACATTCATCTAGTTTCTTAATTTTTGTGTACTTCAGTTTCCTTATGTGTAAAATGGAGATTGTAACAGTAGTTACATAAAAATTTATAAGAACCATTAGATCCTGACTTTAAGTGTTTTATATTTATTAGCTGCTATCATTATTGCTATTATTATGACTTCCTAGAGAAGTAAAGGAAAACAAAACTCAAAACTCTTCTGCTATAAATGTCATTTTAAATCAGTGTTTTTAAAAAAATTTTTTTATTATTAACATATAATGTATTATTTGTTTCAGGACACAGGTCTGTGATTCATCAGTCTTTCACAATACACAGCACTCACCGCAACACATACCCTCCCCAATGTCCACCACCCAGCCACCCATCCCCTATCCCCCCTTCCCTCATAGTGTTTTAGTATGTACATTAGAAAAAATGATTTCAGTGATTTTGCCTATTTTGATTTTCACATTCCATTCATTGCAGCCAATTTTTTATTTCTAGTATATATATATATACGTATATAGTAATACCATGGAAAAACATATAATTCTAGTTTTTCTCTTACTTGTACAATAATAATAATGATGAAAATTGTCCCGAACTTGCCTCTTGAACTCTCTTTTTAAAAAATTTTTTTTGAGAGGGCACCTGGGTGGCTCAGTGGGTTGAACGTCTGACTCTTGATTTTGGCTCAGGTCATGGTCTCAGGGTCATGAGACTGTCCTGCATTGGGCTCCGTGCTGAGCATGGAGACTACTTAGGATTTTCTCTCTCCCTCTTCCTCTGCCCCTCCACCCTCCACACCCGTTGCCCACTCTCTCTCTCAAGGGAAAAAAATGAAATAAAAAAAGAGAAAATAAAGTTTTTTTTAAAAATTTTATTTCTTTAAGTAATCTCTGTACCCAATGTGGGGTTTGAACTCATGAACCTGAGATCAAGAGTTGCATGCTCTTCTGACTGAGCCAGCCAGGCACCCCAGCCTCTTGAACATTCTTTTTTTTTTTTTTTTTTTTTAAGATTTTATTTATTTATTTGACAGAGAGAGACACAGAGAGAGAGGGAACACAAACAGGGGGAGTAGGAGAAGGAGAAGCAGGCTTCCTGCGGAGCAGGGAGCCCAGTGCGGGACTAGATCCCAGGACTCCGGGATCATGACCTGAGCTGAAGGCAGACGCTTAACGACTGAGCCACCCAGGTGCCCCTCTCTTGAACATTCTTAAGAAAAGGACTTTTTGAGCCATTGAGGAAAATCTTGCAAAGATCCCTCTTTTTCTATCTGGGGAGGACTGACCTGTTTTCCTGAGAGTGTAGCTTCAGGAGGTTTATACACAGAAACAGCAAGGGAAGAAGGGGAATTGTCCTATTCAGATCAACTTTTTTCCTTCAAAATTTTGAACGTGGAAAAAGATATGTAAAATTTACCATTTTAACCATTTTTAAGTGTACAGTTCAGTGATATTAAATACATTCATAATGTTATGCTACCATCACCACTAACAATTTCCAGACCTGTTTTCATTTTGTAAAACTGAAACTCTGTACCTATTAAATAATAACTTGCCATTCCCTCTTCCCCCCAGACCCTGGCAACCACCATACTACCGTCGGTCTCTATGTTTAATACGTTAAGTACCTCATGTAAATGGAATCACAGTATTTGTCTTTTTGTGACTGACTTATTTCACTTAGGATAATGTCCTTAAGATTCATCAGTGTTGCTGCGTATGTCAGAATTGCCTTCCTTTTCAAGGTTGAATAATATTCCATTGCAATATAGGCCACATCTTGCTTATGGATTCATCTGTTAATGGATTCTCAGATTGCTTCCACATTTTAGCTATTATAAATAATGCTGCTAAGAACACAGGTGCACAAATATTTCTTTAAGACCTATGTTCAGATCAGCTTTATGATTAATGAAAAGATAAAATCAGTAAAAATCAACCTTATGTCACAATGATATTATATGTTTACAAGAAATCAAAGAAAAAAATAATAACATTATTAAAGATGGACTTACCATACACTCACTGTATATTAAAACCACAAATACACAACAATTTAACAATCTAAAGTAAAAGACATTTTCCTCTCTGGCATTTCTGAAATCTGTTTTACTTAAATGGCATATGAAAATAACTTATCAGACTCAGACTCATAAAGCATCTATATATTGCACTTCATTATGTCACACTAGTTAGGGGAAAGAACTTTTGGAACAATTCGTACCTGGATAAGATGTGTTGGCATTGTGATGATACAGGCTGAAAGAGAGGTTCGTAGAAGACCACGGAGAACATACAGGAACTTTGTAAGGCTGTGGCTGTTGTCACAGTTTTCTGTACAGCAAATGTCATCTCCCCACAAAGGTGAACCAAGATTCTGGATTCCTATTCTTAAAATATTTTTCTGTTTTTTCTAGAGAAAAGTGGGAGGGAGGTAAACACATTAGGTTTTGTTAACCGGCAGGATACCTCTTTTACTTCTCTTCGCCAGTTTTTAAATTTATGAAAGATTAGGGAGATAATGTCAGTAGAGGTGGTAAAAACCTTTATGTGTAGTTAGTATAAGGCAATGAAGGAAATCTTCATTATTACAAGAGTGCAAAAAAAACCCAGCTGACTTTTTCTTACTTTTGGAAAATTTGAAGAGTATCAAAAGTCTCAAGCTTCTATATTTTAACAGTGACTACTCTAAGGATTATGTTTGAGGTGCCTGAAATAATATATAAAAAATCAGTTAGCAATAAAGAACACCTAAACCAGAATGCTTACAAACCATTCTTAGTATTACAAAATTCTACAAGTCTTTCAATAAACTATAATTTGCTCAATATTTCTCATTTAATGCTTCTGTGTCCAATGCCTGATACTTTGTTTGAAAGAAGTTAAAAATGTGTGTTTTGGTTTTACACTCTATATATGCCTTTACTTATTCTTCTTGAAGCTATTTTTACAAAATAATTTAAGTTCAATGCCTTCATAAAATTGAACAAGTAAACATCTAGAAGTTAAGAGTACTGATATGAAGGTCATAATAGTGACTAATATTTCCTGGGAAAAGAACATTTAAAAACCATTAAATAAAACCTAGGATGATTATCAATAAGTGTTTGCCAGAGATATATTTATAACAAATTTTACTGTTTGGGTTATTCTAACTGAACAAATGTTTTATATATGCTTTCCATAGCAATCTGGCAAAATTTCTGGGCAAAGGAGGAGACATTAGCAAAACCTGGTGCATGGAAATAATTGAAAAATTATTATTAAAATTCCAATGGGGAAAGTTAAGTTTTCTCTCTAAAAGCAAAAGTTTGGAACATGTGCCATTTTTGAGTGTGATTTCTGATGAAGCTAGATCCTACAATATATCACTTGTTATTGCTATAATAAAACTAATAAAATTTATTTAACTAATACAATTTATTAACCAACCAGTATCTCCCTAATATTACAGATGAAAGTTGAGTTTGTGTATTTTTGAGAACTTATTAACAAAGGAAAGTAGGGAAAATGAACAAAACACTGAAATGTTAAAAGAGGAAAAACAAAAGGGGACAATAATTAGTAAAATGGAATTATAAGACAGATATTCACAGTCTGGACTGTGTAACTAAGAAGATGTGGTTCTGGGCAAGACCCTACACTACTTAGGCATTCATTTTCTCATCTCTACAATAAAAAGGATAAACTAGAACATTGTGCTATAAGCCCATACAATCTGTCAAATATATAAAGGAACACAATGGGTTGGATAAAGCTATTAAAATGAGATTACAGAAAAAGGAATTTAGTTTAAGTACATTTAAAAACACCTTCCTGACTCCAAGGACCTGGAACATGATGATACTATTAAGGCAGCTGGTCCAATTTTCTTTTCTGGTCATATTAAGTTTATGATAGGCAACGACCTTAAGATATATGTTATGATCCTTGGCAGTCCATAAAAATTGTTTTCTTTTTTAATTTCTGCATTACTTAAATGAAATGAAGGTAATAATATGTACCAGGGCATGGGTTAGAAGTTTAAATAAGTTTTTGATGAATTCACGTAAGATATTTGTGAACTGATAGGTTATCCCTTACACTGTATTACCTAGAAACTCAGAATTTAAGTAAAATGGCAAGATTAAGTTTCATTTTGTCATTCCTAAACTTGTTTTCTCATGAACTGTAGCTTAAATTAGATTCTCAACAGAAAGAGCCATCTGGAAAAAGGGAGAGAAAACCTTCCCCCAAAATCTAGGTATTAGAACAAAACCTGAAGGTAGAAGGAGAGCAGCATTATATTGTTTCCCCTGTCAACATTTCAGAAATCAAAGGTCAGCTGTATATTTTAACCCAGTCACCATTACCAACTATTATATCAAAGAACATCTGCTAAAAGTTTATAAGAAAAATGCTGTTAGGTGCAGAAGCAGGAGAACTATAGAGGTTTAGCGACTTTGACAGATATACTGATATATCTGAAAATAAAATGAAAATATTAAAGTCAAAGAATGAATAATAAGGTAGTTAAGTGAGATAGGTACTCAGCACACCAGAACATAACTGAGATAATACTTCAACATAGGGAATACATTTATATTTTTAAAAAAATGACGGTAATTGCAAAAAAAAAGGCTGAATTACAAATTTCCTGTGTCGTTTTGGACATATAATTCCTTTGCTATGCTATATAATAATGGGGCACATCGTTAGGCATAATAAAATTTATAAAATAAACTTTTGTGGAAAGCTGAACAATAAATAGTTAAATTTATTCCTATGAGAACATCTCAAATATTTAATCTGGTATTCTAAGCAAAATCAATGTTCAAATTTCATCTTTATTGTACATTTCTTTAGATATTTAAAAAATCATAACTTAAATGAAATTATGACAGCAATTTGTAAATATCTCCATTCCAAATATCTTTACAGACGAGCTACAATACTTTACTTACCACCAAGGTAATTATATAATAGTATATAATACTCAGTTTCTTATAGCCTATTTCAAATAAACTAAATTAGGTTATTTGACAATATAAGCTTATTTGAAAATGTAGTGATAGAGAAAATAAGATGAAAATTTCCTTTTAAAAAGAAGGATTTGGGGCGCCTCAGTGGCTCAGTCGGTTAAGGGTCTGCCTTCAGCTCAGGTCATGATCCGAGGGTCCTGGGGTTGAGCCCCATGTCAGGCTCCCAGCTCAGCAGGGAGTCTTGCTTCTCCCTCTCCCTCTGCCTCTCCCCCATGCTGTGCTCTCTCTGTCTCTCAAATGAATAAATAAAAAATCTTTTTTTTTAAAGGAGGATTTATTTCAGTATCAGAACATTATTTTGACTCAGGAATAATATTTTTTGAAGTAGTGCTTCATAGATGCATTTTTGTGGCTTCTTGAACTCATCTAAAGTTTCTGAGACAGATGTATAGATGAGGTAATTTAGCAAATGATACGTTCTATAACATAACAATATAGAAATATAGTAACAAAAAAACACAACATAAAATTTGCTTTTGTTCCAATAAAATTGGAATTTTATAACTTATTGGCATGTCGTAAATTTTTTTCAGCATTCTTGGTATTCACCATATAAATATCTACCTCAACTCTGTTTAATCTTTATGTAAGTCAATAGTTGTAGAACCTCCAGTTCAGAGAAACAAACCAGTTCAGTTTGTTGTTTATCAACTTTCATGAAATAAAATACTATTTATTGAAAATGGTGGTGTTTTTCATACTCAAATAAATAACTAAGAAAACAAACATTTCATTCCATTCCAGTAATAGCTTACTGATCAAGGGTCCTTTGGACGGATGTCTGTAGATGTGTGTACATATATGTATGTATATACATATATATGCAAGTATGTGTATATCTTTTTGTTATTACCTTTGCTGTTTTGCATTTTATAAAATTTCCTGCTCTTAGAAGATGTGTCATCATTCTGCAAGAACAGCAGCTCTGCACACTGTATCATAGGAACTGTTATGACATGCCTGTTTCTATAGTAACCACAGCAAGTGGGGAGAGGTGTCTGTCAGGGACCAATTTACCTCTCCTGACGGGCATTGCCACCAAAGGGCGGACACAGTGCCCATAAATCTTAGCTAGGACCAAAAATGGAGCAACAATGAGCAAGACAAAATTGTAATAAAAACCAAGGCCCATCACAAAAACTGTAGCATACGTGAAGAGCCATCTATAAATAAATGTGTATGCTCCACCACACACGTAAGTATTTTCAACTAGTTATTAAACTGATGATCAAAACAAATTTAAAAATTATCTTGCTGTGGAAAAAAACATTAAATACAGCAGTAAAGTTTATAAGAATGCTTAAAATTTATGGATTAAGAGCAAATGTAGTTGATAATGCCAAAAAAAAGACTTTTGGATTCTTTGCTTTCTTCAATAAAAATAATGGTGCTTTGGAAATAATTCTGCTAAAATAATAATAATGAACTGAAAATCTTTAGCAGCTACAACAATTAAAATCGCTGAGAAAGACTTCTGAAAGGCATGATATCTAGAAATAAAATTTCTCTCATTTTGTTTAAGTTAAACTAACTGGAACATCTTTAATAGTAGGAATTTGGAATCTTTAATAGTGGGAATTTAAAAACTTCCATTTTTAGACGCTACAGAGAAATAATTAAGTTATAAAATATTTTAAGACAGCAAATAAAAATGCATTTTTTATTCAATGAGACAAATCAAAGCATGATGTTATAAGAAATAAAATCTTAAAATAATTAATCCTTACTCATAAGGTAATTCAATTCAAGACTGAATGACAAATATAAAAAATTTAGATAAGACAGTACCAGTCTTGCAGATTTAGGAGTAATTTTCCAAATGTGGCTATTTATTAATTCCAGGTGCTATAAATACATATTTAAAAATAATTTATGTTGACAATGTGTGTATACATCTTCTGTGCATCCACTGAGAACTTAGCTAAAACTTTAAATACACATTAACAATTAAACTAAGGCTGCCTGTGCTCTGCTTATTGACATCTTCTGAGCTTGGGAACAGCTTGTTCACTGTTGATGATTCTAAAACCTCTGGGTTTACCTCTAGAGAGTTTAAAAGCAGCATTACATACATGATTATAAAAGGTTTTGAAGGTGCTCAATACCTGGGGATTGGAGCCATCAAATCCTTCCTCATATATGACTTTCTGGATAAACTGAAGCAGCCTTCTGTAGCCATGGGTCAAAGAACTGTTGGTAAGAAGTGGTTCAAATACGTCAGTGGGCTTATTACACAGAAAATTCAAAATCTAAGCTATAACATTAAGGAAATTTATGAGATTAAATATAACATAAAATGAACCAAAATAGTATAAATAATCTAAAAATATACAGTCAATACACCCAGGGAGTAAGTTACAACGCCTTATATTAACTAGCTCAGTGTTCTGGACATCATAGGAAGATAAAAATCTGTGGAGACTGAGATGGCTTAATTATGTCAAGCTTAGTTACCTCCAAGAAAATTAATGATTTAATGAAGCAACCTAAAAGATGATATAGCTTTTCTGGAGTAATCATAGATAATTAACATGTAGTTAATGAACTGCTATGCCAAGTACACCTGAATCAATATCTCGATCACCTAAGCTCATCTTCCAGAAAAGTTTTAATTTTCTTAGAACAAACTGCTAAAATAATAATAATTAAAAAACTTGATTTTTTAAGGCCTATGAAGACAAGTGGTTATAATTTCCACTTTGTTTTTAAAACGAAAATAATAAAATAAATGTATGAATTCAAGAAGACAAATTATCTCTCACATGAATATTAGTATTAGTGTTACTATTTTAAAATATTTTACAAAAATGGGGAGCCTGGCAGGTTCAATTGGTACAGCATGAGACTTGTGATCTTGGGGTCGTGAGTTCAAGCCTCACGTTAGGTGGAAAGCTTACTTAAAAATTGTTTTTACAATGTTATGAAACACCTCAAAAAAATTTAGTAACTGTGAAGAACATCTGGTTTAACACTGACTGAATTTAATATTCTTGATAACGCACAACCTGCGTGCTATGGCTGAACATTAACTGTCATGATAATGAGGTTCTGGTGCAAAGCTATTTCATAGACGTTTAAGTAACGAATGCTGTAAAAGCTGTGGGTGTCCTTAAAAATACAAAAGTGTTTGCTTTACTCCGATCCTAAGCTCAACTTTCAGAAGACAGTACTGCTGTTTGAATGCAGGATGTTCAATTCCTATCTGGGTCAATTAGGTTTGCACAAGGGGTAAATCTGCTCCAAGGTCCCAGATTATGAAATGAATTTCAGCCAACCATTTGACGAATGTCAGTATGGGTTAAAGGAGGGGAGATCAAGAATATATCCAGTTCATTCTAATCCATCAATAATGAATCTACTCAAGACATTATTTCATATATTATTATTTCTTAAGTATTTTTCCTTCTGCCGCAAATTGTTCAATAATAATATTTGCCTTAGTAATACATTTGCTATCTGAGGTATATTACTAGACAACACATACATAAATTATTCTTAGTTTTTTGTTGCCACTACTCAACCAATACAATCAGTTACTTATTTTGTATTCTCCCAGTCTGTTAAGGTAGCTATAGTAGAGCTAAGATTCTCTTCAAAGGTGGTGGAAAGGTTTGATATGAGAACAAAAATAAACACATAAAGCCAATATATCTTAGTCTCTTTCCTTAATTAACACTGACATAAAATAATCCAGACACCAGTAACACTTAGAACTTTACCAGTAATAAACTTCCCCAAAGTAATTAGATTTCTAGGACAATAAACACTTTGATAAAAAATTAAATGGGAAAAACTTAGGTATATATATTCAGGTATATAAATTGATAATATTCATTTATGATACATGGGGTTATAGCATTTAAAACTGAACTAGTTTATATGGTATTGATATTAAACTACTACTGAGTATTGTTAATCTCCATGAGATACAGTTCCTGCCAGCAATACTTATAAAAATATTTTTTATTGATAAAAATTTTTTCTCTTATCTAAATTTTTAAAAAATTAAACCCCTTTAATTTTGAGGCTATTGCCTTTTTTTGCTGCTGTTTAGCAGTATAGTAACTTACAAATCAGGAATTGGCAGAAGGAAATCTAGTTACAAATATGACCCTGTCCTCCTTATTGTTTCTAAGCAATTAACAAAGGATAGTTTATCAAAGTATTTAAAACATGTTCCAAAGGCAGCACATTTTATTTTATTTATTATTTTTTTAAAGGCAGCACATTTTAAATCATGTATACTATTCTACCTTGATTTTCTTAATTTTCAGCAACTATTATAGTAAAATGATCTAACTTGAGATTCCACAATTTGTCTTTAAAAGTATAACAGTACAAAGAATGTAAAAATAATTATTAGAACTTTAATTTTTACCTTTAAAATATTGAGTATTTAAAATTTTTTTCAGTCAGAAAAATTTGTTCCATGTTTGCTTATATCACCATGTCTTCTGACAGTAATTTATTTTTTTATATTAATATTAAACATGGGTGAAAGGGGTCCAATGACACAAAATGTAAATCTATCTATATATCTATATATTTTTAAGTAGGCTCCACACCCAATGTGAAGCCCAGCGCAGGGCTTAGACTCATGACCCTGAGATCAAGATCTGAGCTGAGATCAAGAGTAAGATGCTTAACTGACTGAACGACCCAGGTGCCCCTAATCTATTTTCTGATGACCAAATTCAACATTTTTAAAAAACTGACAGAAAGAAATGAGACTTTTGTACCTATCAGTATCTCCCCCACCCAGTTTTCAGCAGGTGGTCTGATAGACATTTATATCAGAGAACTTCAATTTCTATCAACAAATGGCATTGGTTTTTCTGTGAAAAGTAATTTTGTCAGTCTCATTAAGAAAGATAATAAAAAGGGGGTGCGCCTCGGTGGCTCAGTCCATTGAGCTTTGGACTCTTGATTTTGGCTCAGGTCATGATCTAGGGTCATGGGATCGAGGCCCAAGTTGGACTTTATGTCCTTCTCTCTTTGCTCCTCCCCATACTCGTGCTCTTTCTGAAATAAATAAATCTTAAAAAAGATAAAAAAAATCTGCTATAGTATATCTAGGTGTAGATATAAATGCAGTATATCTAGAAAATAAATCAAGCAGATAATAAATACCAATTACCTTGTAGTTTCTCAAACATTGAGCAAAGGAATACTTACAAGTCTCAATATGATCAAAGAATAAATGTAAACGGAACAACAACAAAAAAGCTTGGGTAACAAAAGACAAGATTTTATTTGTGAAAATATAAATTACAAAGAATATTATATATATGTCGATAAATGAAACATTTACACATAGATAATAAACTCTTGGGTATTTTTTGGTAACAAAACTACCTGATTTTAATTTTATCTACTGGTAAAGTGTCTGACATAGTAAATACTCAAAAAAGGTTTTGCATCTCTGTCACATTTGATCATTACAATAGTCTTGTCAGGTGAATAGAGTCATTAGCTCCATTTTATGGTAGAGAAAATTAAGACCCTTTGGAGACTTAAATGATTTGTTCAAGGCTGTACAACAATTAAGTGACAGACGAGGCACCTAAAAAGTTTTCTAAAACTTCAAAAGCCTCAGAGTGAGATCCAGATTCAATGAAAAGTCTGTGGGATCAAATACACTACTGTGGCTGTGATGAGCTTTGAACGTGACTCCATTTAACACAAAGTAACCAGGTGTACAGTGTTAGGAAGATATTTTCTTTTAGTTGCACTTATGAGACCTTCACAAATAGGCCTCACTTGTATTAACTGGTACATGACATATAAAGACAATTCAAGATGGAAAAAATGTAGATATACAATATATAAATGAGATACCAGCATAACACAGTGGAAAATACACTCGAGATCTGGGATCCTTGTCTATCCATATCAGCAACTATAGCTAAATGTGTGATAATGAGGCAAAGTATTTAATTTTTCTGTTCTGGGGCTCAAAATTTTCTCATGGGACAGAGTTGCACTAATAATCTCTCTTGTCCTTTCTGACTTAAAATTACATGGCTCAAGAATGACTTTTCCTTTTTAAGACTGATTTCTCTCATTAAAATGATTAATTGCTGGGTTTTTGAAAATAACTTCTGGTGCATTTTAATACTGATTTAACTACTTGATAGAAATACTTAGGAAGGAAAACTGTTATCACTCCCAATTAGGATTAATTTAAAGTGAAGATGAAGCATTTTTGATATTATTATGCAAATCATTGAGAAAATATGATTTGTATTACCAAAATTCTATTTACACATATATTTCAAGTATTTATTTATGACAAATAGTGAGATATACTTATAGGGCAGTAGGCACAATATCAAACGTCTCAACTAATTGTGTAAAATGGTTTGCTGAGCTAGTTACATTAGCATATAATTTGCATGTTACTATGAAGACTGTGAAGTCTATTCACAAGTAATTTTCAAGTTAAAAATTCCATTACTATTACCCTGAAGGCTGTCACAGATTTTTCTTTTCTGATGCTTTTCACCTAATTACACTGAATTCAATTCTCTTCACCATGAATACTCAACTAAGAGTGGAACATACAGAGACTAGAAATGCAAGGAAAACAATGACCAGCATAGATCTCTGAGCCACAGTTGGGAAAATACTAAGAACATGAGGATATAAGAATTGCATCCACTGTCTGACAGAGATACTACTGGAAGAGGTTACGGTCTTTCATGAAAAAGAATTCAGTTCAACATTACTTTGATTTCCTTTACTTATTGATGTAAACAAGTCATTAGATTATGTCTCCTACTACCCATCATTGTTGTTGTCATCTAGCCAACCCTGGATCATTAATTATCTTTCAAACATGCTGGCCTTTCAGTTTCTTGACCACCTCTCTCCCAATGATCTTGTTTCCATCCTACCCATGGTGCTCACTCTTATGAGCATATCTTAGACCTTGCCATTATCAATAATTGCTATCCCTATGTAATCTCAATCCATGATCTCTCCTCCCCATGACTGCCACTTCCTATCTTTCCACCTAGAGCCCATATGTAATCATTTGACCACACTGAGATCTCCACAGCATTGCCTACCACCTCTTCACTCAATTCCCTTGATACACTCTTCCAACTATTTAACCACCTTAATCCACGATCAATCCTTGTCTCTACTTCCTTGCTCTTCTCTTGCTTTGTTTCACCTGCTCAACAACT